CACCTCGCCCCCGCCGCTCTGCTCACCGCGGCGGGGACCCAGCGCCGAGAGCTGCCAAAGGCAGGAGGGGACGCGGACGAGCGCCGGATGACTCGGTGGCTTTGCGTTTCCAATGCCTTTCTTTATTTATATATTGAAGTAGAGAAATGCTCTGAAAAATGGATTTGTATTAATAACCTGTAATTATACAGACGCACACGGATGATACGGTCTTTCACTGCCAAAGCTACCATCTAATCTGACAATTTCCTAAAAGATGACAGGCGCCACAAATACACGGGAGCAAAAGAAGCTGAGTGGGAGAAATTAAAAGTGCTTTCTTGGAGTACAGACTATTCAAAATTCACTTGTTTATCTGTTCTGTGTTTAGGGTGTTATTTCCATTTTAGCAAATAAGCATGTAAATAAAAAGTAAAATTAAGAGGAAAAATGCCAAAGGAATTATGTTAGTTAATTTGATGGCTTCTGCTTATAGTTTATAAACAGGCAGAGGGTTTTACAGAACATACCGTGATGCATAAAAAGGCTTTCATGATCGTCTTAAATTAAAATGTATTGATACAATTTTTGTACAAATATTCCCCCGCATGATTGTGAGTCCAAACCACGGCAGCATGGTTTGAGGGCATGTGAACCAGAAATTAAAACCGAGCTTGGGAGTCTGATTTAATTACCCTGCTAAGTGAAAGGCAAAAGAGAGAGAATAAACAGCGAAGAAGGAGACTCTGTTGGGGAAATATTTTAACAACCCGTGACTTTCATACACCGCATTTTCCGTTTGATGTGGGTTTATATTGACTGCATCTCCTTATCAAAATTTTTGAATTAGCAGCTCCTGCAGCCGTTGGAGCGCTGATCAGCGGGGCTGGGGTGACCTGAGCAAGGGGCGGCGCGCGGGGGCCTCCCCCCTTCTCGCCGGCCCCCGGGCAGGGGAAGGCGCGTGCGACGCGCGCCTCGGCGTAGCCTGCTTTTCCCCCTTCGCGTTTCTTCTGCGCCGATGGGCGTGAGGGATGCGGGATGAGAAGGAACCGGGTCTGTAAGCTCTGACAGAACCCCTCGAGTTTGCAGTTGGACATATGTGAATTTTAATGCCTTGCGGGAGTGGGGATTTATGTACTGAACAATCGTCCCATTAGTCTCAGCGGGTGAAATCCTGATCTCACTGGTGCGAGTGGCAAAAATGCGGTTGACTTCAAGAAGCCTGTTTTTGACCGAAAAGGACTAATGCAACTCGCTGTGTATTTTTTATGAATTATATTGGGCATGTTTTATTCAACCATCACTAAAAGCCTCTCTCCCTTTATTAATAGGGCTATTTATTATTTGTTAGGTTAGGGCAGAGAACATCCCTTTTTCACTCTGTAAGAGTGCGGAGGTTTGAAAATGCAATTATGCAGGGGGGCCTTGGCACCAGTTCTTTGGTTTAGTGAGCGGTGAGTTACTCCGAAGGAACTGTTCAGATGAGCACTTGTGTCTGCTACTTAATTTTCTATAGATTTATTTCTCCAGGCTCCTCCCTTTGTTTATAATGGCATCTTTTACTCTGGAACCAGAATACCTACAAACTCGAAGGAAAAAAAACTAGAAACAAAGCCAGGGAAGACACACAGTGAACATCTCCTGTTTTATAAAACGATGTCTTAGTAAAAAAATACGATAGCAGTGCTTAATTTCACATTGCTGCAGCAATGGCAAACCCATGCACTATATAATGCAGAGCATTACAGCTGTCAATCATACCATGATCAAATAAATACAAACTGCAAAAAGTTGAAAGAGGATTGAAATACTCGACAGCATAAAATCCAAGGGCCTTGTTTGCAATGAAAACGTGCACTTTTAGTAAACATTAGTTTTTATATAAAACGAGCAGCATATTGTCTTCACGGTACAGGGTATCACACGGTTTTATCGGGAGAGGCACCGGGTATTTGAGGAGGGGGTGAGGTGTTTGGGTTTTTCCAGTCGTCTCCTTCCCCGGTGCCTCTCAGGACTCCAAGCCCCCAGCTGAAGTTGTGGGCAGGCTGCTGGAGGCGATGGGAATTAATGATATTCCTCTGCCCTCTGTAGGAGAACTGCCTGCACTGAACGCTGCTGCTGCTGCTCTGCCCGCACCTTGCTGCATTCTAATTAGCAGTCATGTCTGGATTATGTTTTATAGCATTTAAAAACAGACAAGGAGTGGGGAAGAGTCTTGCGTTGACGGGAAGGGGAAGAGCAAGCAGCCTACGCAATTCCTCCCCGAGCTAGGGCTGGAGCCGGTACCCAGCTCAAGTTTGCAGCTTGCTGCTGGCACCCTCGCGGGCAAAAATCTCAGTGCGGGTTGTGGAAAGCCCAGATCCTGGAGTCCAGGCTGACCCCTGAAGCTGGTCCCTGTGGGGTATGAAGTTCAGACCTACGCCTGCAACTCAGGGTTGAGATGCTGGTTTGGGTCCCTTCTCCCTCGTAACAAAATATGCCCCAACCTCTGTTGCTGTTCCCCAACTCCAGGACTAACCTGGTGTTTTGAGGCCACCTCACCCTGCCAAGCAGCCAGGAGAGGCTGTTGGTGGGAAACCCAAACGAGCCGGTTCTTGTTAACCTTCTCAGCAGGTCACTTCTGCATTGCTTTGCTGCTGCTTCTAGGCCAGAGTTTGGCACAAGCACCTCAGGAGCTTTGGTGCTGGTATGGATGCACTGAGGTTGGTGTCACCCTGGTGTGAGGCTCCACCTGCGTCCAAGGGCTGGGGTTAACCAAAGCACTTGGCTTCCAGCTCGTGCCGCTGTGAGGGACCCCGGCTTCAACAGAGACCGCCAAATGTTTAACGTACGGGACGAGAAAAGAATTAATTCAGTTCTGTGCAGCCAGTGGTGCTAAAAAAAGTGCGATGTTGACTTAAAGAAATAGTTGTAATATTTTGCATTATAGAACAGGACTTTGCTTTTATTCCGCTGTTATCCCAGTGCTGCTCAGCTGCAGAGCACTGGGCAAACGCCAACTCCCATGACCCCGATGGATACAATTATTATTCCCCCCTTAAGGATGGAGGGACTGGGACAGCCGGCCCTCCCCCGGCACGACTGGGGTGTATCTGTGCGGATATTTCTATTTATCGCGGTCGCTCCTGGCTGCGCACCCGCGCTCCCAGCAGGCGGGCGCTAGGACCCGGCAGGACCCGGCGGGTCCCACTGCT